GACATTTGAAATATTCAATGTAAAATTATAAAATAGAGGACGCAATAAATTTTTTTTTTTTCAAAATTAATTAATGATTGATAAAACAATTTTTTTTTGTTATTTTTCTCACAATTTCGCGTTAAATACTCATCAAATATTGAAAAAAAATTCAAAATAAAAAAATTAATTTTTTTTTCAATTTTAAAAAAAATTTCTCGACATTTGAAATATTCAATGTAAAACGGGACGCAAAAATATTTTCATAAATAATTTTTTTTTCAAAATTTTGAATTTTGATATAAATTAATAACTTGTAAAGATGACAGTTAGGCTTCAGTAGGTTTTTTGCACATTAGATTCATTCATGATTAAGATAAAAAAATTCTTTTGCGCTATTTTTCTCACTATTTCACGTTAAATAAACACCGAAAAAAAGTCAAAATTAAAAACAAATCAAATTTTTCATTTTATTTTAAATTTAAAAAAAAATTTCTCGACATTTGAAATTCAATGTAAAATTGTAAAATATAGGACGCAAAATTTTTTTTATAAATTTTCAAATTTTATTTTTTTTAAAATTTGATTTTTTTTTCAAGTTTGAAATTTGATACAAATTAATAACTTGTAAAGATGAGTTATCTTCAGCTGGTTTTTTGCTCCTTAAAAATTAATTAATGATTAAGATAAAACAATTTTTTTGCGTTATTTTTCTCAAAATTTCGCGTTAAATACTCATCAAATAATATCGAAAAATCAAAATTTAAAAAAAATATTTTTCTCTACATTTGAAATATTCAATGTAAAAGTATAAAATAGAAGACGTAAAAAATTTTTAGAAGATTTTAAAAATTTTATTTATTTTCAAAATTGAATTTTTTTTTCAAAATTTTGAAATTTGATACAGATGTCATATTCAGCAGGTTTTTTGCTCTTTAAACATTAATTAATGATTAAGATAAAACAAATTTTTTTGCGTTAGTTTTCTCATAATTTCGTGTTAAATACTTTTCAAATATCGAAAATAAAATCTAATTTTTAAATTTTTTTTAAATTTAAACAGAAAATTTTTTCTCGATATTTGAAATATTCAATGTAAAATTGTGAAANTCATCTTTACAAGTTATTAATTTGTATCAAATTTCAAACTTGAAAAAAAAATCAAATTTTAAAAAAAATAAAATTTGAAAATTTATAAAAAAAATTTTGCGTCCTATATTTTACAATTTTACATTGAATTTCAAATGTCGAGAAATTTTTTTTTAAATTTAAAATAAAATGAAAAATTTGATTTGTTTTTAATTTTGACTTTTTTTCGGTGTTTATTTAACGTGAAATAGTGAGAAAAATAGCGCAAAAGAATTTTTTTATCTTAATCATGAATGAATCTAATGTGCAAAAAACCTACTGAAGCCTAACTGTCATCTTTACAAGTTATTAATTTATATCAAAATTCAAAATTTTGAAAAAAAAATTATTTATGAAAATATTTTTGCGTCCCGTTTTACATTGAATATTTCAAATGTCGAGAAATTTTTTTTAAAATTGAAAAAAAAATTAATAATTTTATTTTGAATTTTTTTTCAATATTTGATGAGTATTTAACGCGAAATTGTGAGAAAAGTAACAAAAACATTTGTTATCAATCATTAATTAATTTTGAAAAAAAAAAAATTATTAATTTATTGCGTCCTCTATTTTATAATTTTACATTGAATATTTCAAATGTCGAGAATTTTGTTTTTAAATTAAAAATAAAATTTAAAAATTTGATTTTTTATTATTTTGATTTTTTTTTCGGTATTTGACGAGTATTTAACGCGAAATTGTGAGAAAAATAACGCAAAAAATGGACCGTTTTGATACAAATTAATAACTTGTAAACATGACAGTTATCTTCAGCAGGTTTTTTGCTCTTTAAACATTAATTAGTGATAAAACAAATTTTGTTTGCGTTATTTTTCTCACAATTTCGCGTTAAATACTTATCAAATATCGAAAAAACAAAAATCAAAATTAAAAAAAACAAATTTTTCAAATTTTTTGTAATTTTAAAAAAAAATTTCTCGACATTTGAAATATTCAATGTAAAACGGGACGCAAAAATATTTTCATAAATAATTTTTTTTCTCAAAATTTTGAATTTTGATATAAATTAATAACTTGTAAAGATGACAGTTAGCTTCAGCAGGTTTTTTGTTCCTTAAACATTAATTAATGATTAAGATAAAACAAATTTTTTTGCGTTATTTTTCTCACAATTTCGGGATAAATACTCATCAAATATCGAAAAAAGAAATCAAAATTAAAAACAAATCAAATTTTAACTTTTTTTAAATTTAAAAAAAAATTGTCGATATTTGAAATAAGTACTTTGTAAAATTATAAAATAGACGTAATTTTTTATAAATTTTCAAAAAATTTTTTTATCATAAATTTTATTTTTCGATATCTGATGAGTATTTAACGCGAAATTATGAGAAAAATAACGAAAAAAAAATTATTTTATCTCGATCATTAATTAATGTGTAAGGAGCAAAAAACTTGCTACTTTAATTTTTTTTTTAATTTTTACGATTCAGGAAAGGAAAACGGTTCGACCGATCGATTTCAAAATTTACAAGAGCATGTATTGAGCTAAAAAAAACCTACAAACTTCACTCAATAGCCGATATCTAAAAATTAAAAAAAAAACAAATTGAAGCTGATGAATCAGGCTAAAGTCTATGTACAGCCTTGAAAACAAAAAAAAATGGAAAATTTTTGACTTGCATTATTTCTTTTCATTGCGCAATGTTCAAAAAAAATTTTTCATCTCAAATTTTTCTCGATATTAGTCACGAAGTTACAGCTTTTCAAAAATCAAATGTTTGAAATTGTTAAAGTTTGTCTAGAGCTTGCAGAACACCCTATATAAACTATTTAAAAAAAATCGAGGTTATTTTTTTAAGCGAAATTTCTGTTTCANTGAATAGTGAATATATACATTTTCGCGATCTGTTCAGGTTAGACAAGGTTAGAAATAAGATTACAAAGAGATAGAAACAGTAACTACAAGTCAGACGTATTCACCAATATTCACTCGCGAAAAAAAGCCTTATGTGTAGATGATTGCGTAAAGGAAAAAAATTGGAGAAAGAAGATGCTCTGTCAACACTGTCAGTAGTGTCAGTGTCAGTCTGTCAGTGACATTGTCGCATAAAATATTTTCAAGTCTACAAGTTATTTTCTTTAATCTTCGAATTCCTTTATTAAGTAAAATTATTATTTAATAATAATCATTTAATATCTTCCTTCCCTTAGAATTAAAGCATAATGTGTGAAACGGGATTTTTGAAAAATACTTCGCAAATTTTACCGAAAATTGATATTTTTATGATTATGAATTGAATTTTTAAAAAGAGACGATCGTTTTGGCGCCGCAGTCAGGTAAGGATTAACATATTTAATGAACGATTTTATTGTGTCGATTTATAATATAAATAATAAATATAAATACCTATTTATTTACGGAAAATTATAGTGCAGTTCGGGAGTCTTATGGAGATAATGCAATTGGCTATGTGGAATGTGGAACAAAACACCACTTAAATTTTATTGAATCCATTACAATCAGGAAATTAATAATAACTATCACAAATACTCTTAATTGATAGACTGCTGTCACTAGTGTCACTACTGTCACTTTTGTTTAAAAAACAGGAAACAGGGTAACACGGATTGACATTGATGGACAATTTTGATATATTTTCTTCTTCAAAATTATGCAATAGGACCGCTTCTAGCTTCTTGTTCAATTGCCCCTTGTGACGTCTGACTAGTTTTTAAGTAACACAAAAATTCATAAATGATTTCTACCACTAATTTGTCATATATTTAAAATTTGACTACAGGCAGGTTCTTTTATATAAAATCTTTGTATCAACAACAATTTGTATATGGTTTGTTTTTATAGTCAACAACCCTATTATTATCTTCAGCAGGTTTTTTGTTCCTTAAACATTAATTAATGATTAAGATAAAACAATTTTTTTTGCGTTATTTTTCTCACAATTTCGGGTTAAATACTCATCAAATATCGAAAAAAAAAAGAAATCAAAATTAAAAACAAATCAAATTTTAACTTTTTTTAAATTTAAAAAAAAATTGTCGATATTTGAAATAAGTACTTATTCAATGTAAAATTATAAAATAGACGCAATTTTTTGTAAATTTTCAAAAAATTTTTTTATTTTAAATTTTATTTTTCGATATCTGATGAGTATTTAACGCGAAATTATGAGAAAAATTACAAACAAAAATTTATTTTATCTTCATCATTAATGTGTAAGGAGCAAAAAACTTAATTTTTACGATTCAAGAAAGGAAAACTGTTCGACCGATCGATTTCAAAATTTACATGGGCATGTATTGAGCTAAAAAAACCTACAAACTTCACTCAATAGCCGATATCTTAAATTAAAAAAAAACAACAAATTGAAGCTGATGAATCAGGCTAAAGTCCATGTACAGCCTTGAAAACAAAAAAAAAATGGAAAATTTTTGCCATGCATTATTTCTTTTGATTGCGCAATGTTAAAAAAAAATTTTCATCTCAAATTTTTCTCGATATTAGTCACGAAGTTACAGCTTTTCAAAAATCAAATGTTTGAAATTGTTAAAGTTTGTCTAGAGCTTGCAGAACACCCTATATAAACTATTTAAAAAAAATCGAGGTTATTTTTTTAAGCGAAATTTCTGTTTCAAAAACACGCTTATCATATAATTTTTGAAACGTTACTAATTTTTTCACGTCCAACGCCATTTTATTTATACATGATTTTCCAGTATTATTAAATAAGGTGGTCTATGGAATAATAAATAGAAAAAATTAAAGTGTAGTTCGATGAAAAACGCAATATCCAAACGATTATTTATTAACAGCAACTGGAAAAACGAAAATCAACGTGTCACCGATACGACAATCAAGTACCAGCAGCGATAAGCAGCAGAAGAAAAACAATTTAACAGTCATCGCCCGCATCCATACCCCTCCGAGACAAGCGAACGCGTGGTCGACTCGCGACCGTTTCGCGGAACAAGTGAAAGAGCGAACACCTTGGAAAAAAAAGTGTAAACAAACCGGCAAGTGCACCGAAAAAACCACCTAGATGTATTCCAAGTCGGCCTGTCTCACAACCGGTGATTACGACACTTTCGACAACAACAACGTGTGCCTGAGGCAGAAAAACCCAACTCCGACGACGACGGGGCAGTTTTGGAAAAAGAAAACCGTCGCCTGTACACACTGCGGCAGCAAGAAGCCAGTGAACGCAGTAGGTCAGTACGATGCGGAATTATTAACGTTTGGCACAGTCTGTCGTTGAAAAAAGGCCTTCTTGATAGTCCAAACGAGCTTTTCTCGACGTTTCTCGAAGGCAAAAGACCTGAAATTCTTTTTTTATACGAATTGGGAGCATTACAAAACCTCTAGAAATGTTTCAAATAAAGGAACTGATATTTTGAATTGGTTAAAACAAGTTTTAAAATTCTTACCAATTATTTTAGTTTTAATCATTAAATCTTAAAAAAATAGTGTAATATCTGCAAGAGAATAACATAAAATCAACGTTTGGCAAATTAGTTATTAAAAAGAACATTTTTTGTAACTGTACCATGTTTCTGTTTACCTGAAAGTATTTTTTCATGCAAATTAGGAGCTAGAATCCAAAAAGTGTAAAAATTTTACAGGTTATGTTGAAGTCAACTGCGAAGCAGGATATTTAACCAATTCTAAAGCTCTTACCAATTTCCGACAGTTTCAACCCTTAAATCTTGAGAAAGCTACCACAAATGATTTTATAAGACCCTCCTAGCAAAGCTTTTTAAAACCCCTTGCTACCTGCGAAGGCACCGTAAAATTGACCCCCCGCCTCGGCCAGGCCCCTTCAAACGACGCCTGCAATATTCTCATAATGGGGGTAGTACGTGATAAGAAACATTCCTCTAACAAACAAATGCGGCATATCAGAATCTAGTATACTGTTAAAGTTCAGCTGTGAAGGTTCATTATAGCCTTGCTGTGCGTAAACTCGCGAGAAAATCGGAAATGAGGCCTATTACTGGTAAACATATTACAGATTTCCTTTAACAGATGTTTTTTTTTATACTTAACGATATTGGCGCAATACTTTGCTGTTTAAAGCTTGTAAAAACGCTCCTAAATAAAAAACTGTTGCAAATTTGCGACAAAAAACGTGGATGTAACTGAGCCATATTTATTTGCAGTTTTTTTTCCAGGGGTCAGGAAAGAGGAGGTGCTGGCCATAAGGAGCAGATTCCCTACTAAAATACCTGTAAGTAACCTATACAGGGTGTTTTACAATCCTTTTTCAACCCCTTCCATATTTTTTTTTCAGGTGATCGTTCAGAGGTACCCGAAAGAGTCCAGCTTGCCAGAAATGGATAAAAGCAAGTTTTTGGTGCCGCAGGAGATAACAGTGTCGCAGTTTCAAACTATAATAAGGTAAGTAGTGTCACAAGGTACTATTTTAACACAAATATAGTGCTCTATACCCCAAATACTATCGGTTTGTGCTGATCCTGGATACAGTCCTGTACAGATTCCCAATCACTGGAAAGTGATAGAAGTACGAATTAACTCGTACGTAAACAACAGGAGTTATAAATATGCCGGACAAACAATGAAATACTCATGAATATGTTTACTGAACTCGAAGAATAGCACGAGATGTGCTTTATCGATACGAGATGAGAACAGTCCTTCGGTCTTCTCTGTATTTACGTCCCAATTACTTATTTCTTCGATGCATAGAATTTTACGTATAATCTATTCACCTTACTTTGTCACAGGAACGACCTTGATGTGTTTACAACGAAGCTTTAAGATAAATTTATCTTGTACGTCTTTCGTTTATCGAATACTTCAGTTTAAAAATTTAAATTTTTAACACTATTTTTATTTCAGAAACCGAATAAAGCTCAATCCAAATCAGGCGCTTTACCTGCTGGTGAACAACAGGTCGATGATGAGCCTCAGCCTCACGCTGGCGGAGGTGTATACGATACACGCTCACTGTGACGGGTTCTTGTACATCACCTACGCCTCACAAGACGTTTTTGGGAACGATGATACCGATCGTAAGAATTACAGTGATAAGAAAAACTGTAAAAGGAACGTCCTGATGGAGTTTTAAGTATTTTTTTCTCAACGTTGTATCTCCAAAAGACTCAAATATAGCTTTAGATGTTTTGTAAGAATGAATAAAGTCAAGTGATTGTGAGTGTAATGAATTTTTTGTATTGAATAAACGTTTCTTTTGTATTTCTTCTTAAAATGTCATTCATTGAAAATACCTCATTCTCATAGTGTTTGTCTTGCTATTTGTGACTGTTCTTGCAATAATAATATTAGTTATTCAAGTTTGTGTAATCGAAATGTATATTGGGTAACTGCAGATGAAAGAAACCTGTTATTTTTTAATATGATATAAGGTTAGAAATTTATTAAACATTATTTTAACAAAACACGTTTTTGTATTCATTCCACCTGTTCGTCCTTAACGCAAATTAAATTTAACATTTAACGGGTCGGCATAATGAAAGAAAAATACTTACATTGATCCAAATTCTTCACTGAAAAAACCAACGATGTTGATTTACGTTTTTAACAAATCGATGATGGGACTTTTGCAAACACTACTGACCCAAATCTGAATAAGATATTTACATTTTTTCACTATATTGCCACTAAAAATGAAAAAACATGAAAAATAATCTAGGTCGTCTTTGTAAGACACCGGATTGAGGTTTGTTAGTTTGAATTGAACATGAAGAGATTGTGTAGATAAATCTTCAATAAGAAATAAATTACATTGGAATGATGACTATAAAAAAATTAATAATTTTTAAATATGTTCGTGTTATAACAACACACCTGCTTATTTTTAGGTTTTAAAAAGGACTGATATAGACTTTTTTCAAATTGATCAAATCAACAAACCTTCACAATTCAATTAACATTTCGACGTTTGACGTTTGACATTTGACAATGACAGCAAGCTGTATTGGTTGTTTGACAGTTCAATGGGTTCGTCAATGAACGGTTTATTTATAAATTTAACTGTACATTACACTACTATACAATAAAAAAAAAACTATATAGACCCAAATGAACGAGTAAATTCAAGAGCCTGTCCATACCCCATCAGAAATGGTGAGTAAAACAATACACGCTTGTGAGGTTATGTATTCCGGCTTGTGTTTGCAGGACCCCAACATGCCTCCCCAGGCCTTCGTCCCTCCCCCAGGAATAGGAACTCCACCACTGATGCCTCAGATGCCAGCCGGGATGGGGCCCTATCCGCCCATGATTCCACCTTTCAGCGTGCCACCTCCCGGGTTTGGCAATTTCGGCCCCCCGGGACCTCCAGGGGCCACCACCGGGGATCAGTGGTCTGAACATAAAGCTCCCGATGGGAGGACTTACTATTACAACTCCGTAACGAAGCAGAGTTCCTGGCAGAAACCAGACCAACTGAAGACTGCCGTAGAGGTACCAAATTGAAGCTTTAAAACGTGTTTCCCGTGGCAAATGTTTAATTTTGTGTTGTTCTAGTTGCTGTTATCGCAGTGCCCTTGGAAGGAATACACCGCGGACAATGGCAAAATATATTATCACAACATTAATACGAAGGAGTCGCGATGGGTCATACCGCCGGAATTGGAAGAGATAAAAAAGAAAATTACCTCTGAGGAGTGAGTTTTTGAATAACTGTATAATTTATATATGAATCGTTTTTGTCTTTTAGGACCAAACCGCCGTCGGCTCCTGTAACGCCCAAAGAGATTTCAAGTCCCGTCCAGCAGCCTAGTGCACCCCTGACGGGCTCCAATTCTCCTATTGTTACAGCGTCAGGTACTTGCAACTATTTAGTTTGTGGTGTTTCGGTATAACGTTGATTTTTTCCAGTTCCTAGCCCTGGCGGGAAAAGCGCTTTGGAGGCTGCTATGGCAGCAACGCTAGCGGCGATTTCTCTGCCCACACCCCCACCGAAACAAGGTAAATACGTTTAATTATAAAAAAATTATATATCATGCATATATTTGTTCAAATCTTCTGTTTTTTGTGATTATTGCACTGTAATTTTTTTTTTTTAGATGAAGACTCGAATCCCTCGACACATAGCGAGCCCCCCAAGGAGTCCCGTAACTCCACTCCGGAACCGAAAGTGTTCAAAGACAAGAAAGAAGCCATGGAGGCGTTCAAGGAACTTCTCAAGGACAAGAACGTACCGTCCAACGCCAGCTGGGAGCAGTGCGTCAAGATCATATTCAATGACCCCAGGTACGAGACTTTCAAGAAGCTGAACGAGAAGAAACAGGTCTTCAACGCGTACAAGACGCAAAAGCAGAAGGACGAGAAGGAGGAGCACCGGCTGAAGGCGAAGAGGTCCAAGGAGCAGCTGGAAGACTTCCTCTTGCATTCGGATAAGATAACGTCGACCACCAAGTATTACAAGTGCGACGAGATTTTCGGACACCTGGAGGTAAGGCTTGATGAAATAATGCAAAAAAAAACTAATTTTTGAATATTTTTACAGATCTGGCAGAACGTGGCGGATTCCGACCGCCGCGACATATACGAAGACGTCGTGTTCAACCTGGCGAAACGGGAGAAGGAGGAGGCGAAGGTGCTCAAGAAGCGCAACATGAAGAAGCTCGCCGAGGTCCTCGAGTGCATGACGAAGATCAACTTTGACACTACCTGGAGCGAAGCTCAGGTGCTCCTCCTCGAGAACAGCTCCTTCAAGAACGACGTCAACTTGCTGGCGATGGACAAGGAAGACGCGTTGATCGTCTTCGAGGAGCACATCCGCGTCCTGGAGAAGGAACAGATGGAGGAGAAGGAGAGGGAGAAGCGTAGGATGAAGCGGCAGTGCAGGAAGAACAGGGACCAGTTCTTGGCGCTGCTCGATCATTTACACGAAGAGGGGAAGCTCACTTCCATGTCGTTGTGGGTGGAACTGTACCCCATAATATCGGCGGATATTAGGTTCTCCGCAATGCTAGGTAATGTAAATTAATTTCTCTCGATTTTTCTTTGTCGGTTTCCAGCTTAGGCGTTACCTTTCGTGTCATATGCGTGCAAGTGGGAAAAGATATCACATTTTAATTATTTCAAGGTCATGTTGGTTTCTTGTCTCGTAGGCCAAGCATATAAAATTTTTACTCGAAAAAAGTCCTATCCGCGAGATTATTATAAAATTGTCTTAAGGAACATAATACAAGACATCTCTCGTCTCGTGAGTCAAAAAATTTTATCAGCTAACTTTTCTATTTAAACAAATAAGTGGGGGAAACAGTTTTTTCACTTTGCAGGGAAAACCATCAATTTTAGCGAAAAGTGACTCCCAGACAGCTCGTAGGGAATAAAATTATCTACAAAATGAGATGTGTTACATTAAAATCGGTTAATAAACAAAAAAGTTATTGCAAAAAAACAAGAAAAGTGCCCATTTTTTAATTTGTTTATAACTATCGCATTTATTGTTAAAATTTTATAAAACCTATGACAAGTTGAGGGTTTTGTCATACTTTAAAAGTGTGCCAAAAGTGGGCGCTGTAGGTGCAATAGTTTTCGCACAATTCTATTTGTTTATAGCGGAGGCTCCAAAAGTTATGAACTTTAAGCCTCTGTACAGGCGTTAATTTTCAACCAAACCTGATTCTGAAAGCGTCATTGTCATCTTAAAGACTTAATTAAGCGATCTATTAAAAAATATCACCGTTTTTTTGACATTAACATTCTCAAATTGTGCGTTAAAAAACCGTGCGATTTTCGCTTATAAACAATTTGAATAAAATTGTTGCTATTTATGCTACCTCGCCGAAAATAGATGCATTGGATAGCTGGCAAAAAAATACGAATTTAAAAAAAAGCACCCTCTACGACCAACAGGAGCCAAGATAAGAATTTTTTTTTAAATCGTAGCGCAATTGTTTATTAGGGTGGGTCAAAAAAATCGACTATTTTTTTTTACTTTATACTCTGAAAAATAGGTTGCTAGACACCTCTAGAAAATTCTCTCCAAATATGAGCTCTTAATTTTATTAGGAAGGTCCTCCGCTTTACAGTTTTCCATTTTTTCCTCAGTATTAGAAAAAAAAATTCATATCTCTCTATCAACTGTTCGTTAAAAATATCTCTCCTCATATACTTGTAGGAAATTGAACGCTCTACAAAAAAGGTCTCTTGCAATTTTTTCGTAAACCTCACCGTTTAAAAGACATTAAAGGTTGAAGTTTGATTATTTTAAGACAAATTTCTATTTTGCTTATGAATTTTATAACTCGTTAACAAATAATCATTATGAAATCCGCAATTCATAGTTTTGTAGGAAATTAACTGCTCTACAAAAATGGTCTCTTATGATTAGTCCATTAAATAAAGCATTTACAAGATATTCATCGTCAAACTTCAATGCACGCCAATTTTAATAGTTTTTGATTAATAATTCAGAAAATTTGAATTTAATTTATAAGTTTCAGGGAAACTTATACAAATTTGAGTTTTTATGAACAGAGAAATGTTTTAAACTATTTTATATTATTTATAAAGAAAAATTTTTACAGTGAAAGTGTACGAATATTTTATAAATGTTTAAAATTGTATAACTCACTTGATAATTAAATAAAAAAACTTTTTACTTAATAACAAATTGAACATTTTTTTTCTTTAAGATTAATACTTTTCATAATAAATTTGTCACAAAAACGTTATTTTTTCAAGATTTAATGAATCATTGACTCAGTCAGAAATAATACCCCAATTTATTTTTTTCGATGTAACCGAACATGCTTACGACTAAAAAAAAAACGAAAAATAGTTTAAAACATTTCTCTGTTCATAGAAACTCAAATGCGTATAAATATCCCTGAAACTCATAAACTAAATTGAAATTTTCCGAATTATTAATCAAAAACTGTTAAAATTGGCGTGCATTGAAGTTTGACGATGAATATCTTTTAAATGCTTTATTTAATCGACTAATCATAAGAGACCATTTTTGTAGAGCAGTTAATTTCTTACAAAACTATGAATTACGCATTTCATAATGATTTTTTGTCAACTTAAAGTTATAAAATTATAAGTTATAGTTATAAAATTCATAAGCAAAACAGAAATTTGTCTTAAAATAATCAAACTTCAACCATTAATATCTTTTAAACGGCGAGGTTTACGAAAAAATTGTAAGAGACCTTTTTTGTGGAGCGTTCAATTTCCTACAAGTATATGAGGAGAGATATTTTTAACGAACAGTTGATAGAGAGATATGAATTTTTTTTTCTAATACTGAGGAAAAAATGGAAAACTGTAAAGTGGAGAACCTTCCTATTAAAATTAAGAGCTCATATTTGGAGAGAATTTTCTAGAGGCGTCTTATTTTTCAGAGTATAAAGTAAAAAAAAAATAGTCGATTTTTTTGACCCACCCTATTGTTTATAAACATTAAGACTTTTTTTTTTGCAAAATAAAGTTTACGACGTAAACTACGATTTCCCGTGAATTGCATTGAAAAATGTGGAAAATTAACGACTCACGAGCCCTTTAAAGAGAAGATACTTTGCGAAGTAGAATGTCCGGCGTGGTGGTGGGGGAAGCTCGTCCATGCGAGTCGCGCGCACCAGAAAAGTGAAATCCAAAGTTCAAATTGATGCGCGCTGTAAAATTTTGCAATATCTCGGCTTCTATTCGTTGTAGAAACTTCTTTTTTTTTTAAAACAGGGGTAGCTCGACGAAAAAATAACAATGGGCATATTTACGAATTTGTAGAATAGCCCTGAACCCCAGAAAAAATGCATCTTTTATATTCAATTTTTTTTAATTTACAAAAATGTCAAAAATTATTGTTAAACGAAATATTAATAAAAATTTCAATTTCGGAATTATTTTACTATTATTAAATAAATAAATGAAGCTATCGTTCATTTAAAAAGTTATTTTTTTTTATGTATTAAGCCAAAGTAAACTTACTTTTTACAATATTTAGTTATTTAATTATGTTTTAAATGTAAAATTAAAGTAAAAATTCACAAATTATTTTCAAATTATTATTTATTGTTAAAAGATTTAAAAAAGAATAAAAAGCATTTGAATTTATTGCAAAATTCTCAAAATTAAAAAATATTAATAAAAATAATGCGGTCGATAAAATTACAATTTTAACTTCTTGAAATTTTAATATATAAAGTTTTTTTTATTATATTTATTACTAATTTTATAAACATAATCAAAATTAATTCAAAAAATATTAATCACAACCATTTTCAATAATAGATATAAATAATGCAATATAATACAATTTAAAATTTAAAATTTTTTCTATTTTTATGAGAAATAATAATTTGAAAATAATTTATGAATTTTTACTTTAATTTTACATTTAAATCGTAATTAAATAGCTAACAAAATATTGAAAAAACAAGTTTACTTTGCCTTAATATGTAAAAGAAATAACTTTTTAAATGAACGATAGCTTCATTTATTTATTTAATAATAGTAAAATAATTCCGAAATTGAAATTTTAATTAATATTTCGTTTAACAATAATTTTTGTGACATTTTTGTAAATTAAAAAAAATTAATTATAAAAGATGCATTTTTTCTGGGGTTCAGGGCTATTCTACGAATTCGTAAATATGCCCATTGTTATTTTTTCGTCGAGCTACCCCAGTTTAAAAAAAAAAAAAGTTTCTACGATGAATAGAAGCCGAGATATTGCAAAATTTACAGCGCGCACTTCCCCCACCACCACGCCGCCGGCCGCCGGACAGTTTACTTAGCGAGTACCTTCTCTTTAAAGGGCTCGTGAGTCGTTAATTTTCCACATTTTTCAATGCAATTCACGGGAAATCGTAGTTTACGTCGTAAACTTTATTTTGCGAAAAATTCAAGTCTTAATATTTATAAACAATTGCGCTACGATTTTTTAAAAAAAGATTCTTATCTTGGCTCCTGTTGGTCGTAGAGGGCACTTTTTTTATTTTAAAACTGTATTTTTTTTCCAGCTATCCATTGCACCTATTTTCGGTGAGATAGCATAAATAGCAACAATGTTATTCAAATTGTTTATAAGCGAAAAACGCACGGTTTTTTAATGCACAATTTGAGAATGTTAATGTCAAAAAAACGGTGATATTTTTTAATAGGTCGCTTAATTGCGTCTTTAAGATTACAATGACGCTTTCAGAATCATGTTTGATTGAAAATTAACGTCTGTACAGAGGCTTAAAGTTCATAACTTTTGGAGCCTCCGCTATAAACAAATAGAATTGTGCGAAAACTATTGCACCTACAGCGCCCACTTTTGGCACACTTTTGAAGTATGACAAAACCCTCAACTTGTCATAGGTTTTATAAAATTTTAACAATAAATGCGATAGTTATAAACAAATGAAAAAATGGGCACTTTTCTTGTTTTTTTGCAATAACTTTTTTGTTTATTAACCGATTTTAATTTAACCAGTCTCATTTTGTAGATAATTTTACTCCCTATAAGCTGTCTGAGAGTCACTTTTCGCTAAAATTGATGGTTTTCCCTGCAAAGTGAAAAAACTGTTTTCCTCACTTATTTGTTTAAACAGAAAAGTTGGCTAATCAAATTTTTTGACTCACGAGACGAGAGATGTCTCGTATTATGTTCCTTTAGACAATTTTACAATAACCTCGCGGATAGGACTTTTTTCGTTTCTTTTTTATTTTCGCTAATTTTCCTGGTGTATCAGTCCTGAAAAGTTATCGACTAATTCGGATCTTTCTCGTTCCAGGTCAGAGCGGTTCGACGCCTCTAGACCTCTTCAAATTCTACGTGGAGGACCTGAAGTCGCGTTTCCACGACGAGAAAAAAATCATCAAGGAGATCCTCCGGGAGAAGGACTTCGAGGTTAAAGTGGACACGACTTTCGACCAGTTCGCCACAGTCATCTGCGAAGATAAAAGATCTGCGACTTTAGACGCTGGGAACGTCAAGCTGACGTTCAACTCGTTCCTGGAAAAGGTAAAAGTAGATTTTAAACTGAAATTAATCTTGAAACATGTATATTTTTTTTTAGGCGGAAGTCAAAGAAAAGGAGCGTTTGAAGGAGGAGACGAAGCGACTGAAAAAGCTGGAGAACAACTTCAAGAACCTCCTGCGCGAGCTTAACGTAGACTTCGAGCTGTCGTGGGACGAAGTGAGGCCGAAACTGGAGAGCGAGAAGGAGTTCGTGGCTTTCGATTCCGATTCGGAGAGAGTTAAAGTGTACAAAGTAACTACTCGGTTCCCGTTCGGGGGAGCAAGCCGTTAACTTTGCTCTGTTTAAGGATTTCCAGCACGAGATGGAGGAGTCGTGCAGCCACCACCACTCGCGCTCGAAGAAATCCAAGAAGAAGAAGAGCAAGAAGTACAAGTCGTCGAGCACGAGCGAATCGGACAGCGAGAAGCACAAGAAGTCGAAGCGGAACAAGTCGAAGAGCCCCACGCCTTACACGGACGACAGCGCCGAGGAGTACCGGAAGAAAAAGTCGAAGAAAAAGCACAAGAGAAAAAGTCCATCAGTGAGTTATTACTAATCAGTTTATTTCCGAATTTTTTTTTTCCTCTTTTTGCCTTTTTTTTTGGTTTTGTCGTTCATTTTATTTAACTTATTATTGATTAGTTGGTAAGTTGTTCGTCATTAAACGTTAGTGGTACAGGAAATAGTTATTGATTGTTGATTTCTGTGTACATATGTCTAAGGACGGTACGATACGACAGATGAAAATGATGGAAGCGAGGCCGGGATGGTGAGGGACGGCGCGGAAAAGGTGGCGGTCGTTTGGAAAAAAAAAACAAATATTTCCCTACAGATTATAAAAAAACTGGACATAGATCGTGTCGATGGGAGACACAAGGCGTGGATATGTCTCGATAGTTGCGAGCTTGCGCTGTGTTCGTCTCTTGAACTTTTACCGAGATATTCGATTTATATTCGTTGTGATTCTTGTGAAATCGTGTCCAAAATTACACATTTTTTAGAGTATATCTCGGCCGTTTCAACAATTATCGAGTTTCGACTTGATATTTTAGAAATATCTCCCCAAAACGAAGACGGCAAGTGTTACTCGAAAAACACTCAGACACAGTCCAATTCCAGATACCAACTGAATTGCATATTGTTTAACAGCTTATAGTCTAATTAAATAAGCCTTTAAATCAAAATTTTGGTCAACTTGCCTGAATTTTTGATATGAGTTAGTTTGAGGTATGTTATAACAATAAGTGACAGTAATTTTTTGTTCAACCCTCGGCCAAGGGTGAAAAAAGATAAAACAAAGGAGTTTTTCAAGATAACTCAAAAGGGGCAAGGGCTAGAAAAAAAAGTTTCTTATAAAAGTTGTAAAGCATACAATTCTACATAAAAATGGCATCTTGACTTTTTCTTGTACTATTAAAATTAACAGAGTTAGGGAGGCTAGAAGTTAAGGGAAGATTTCAGAAATTTAATTTTGTTAAATCATTAAAATTAACGATTAAAAATTTGATTTTTTGTTATAACTTTCTTATTAAAAATTAAAAAATATACCTATTTCTCTGAACATTACATTACGTTACATTTTTTAGAGTAGATTGAAAAAAAATTTACAAAATTCATTCATTTTTCTGCTTATGATTTTTTAAATTTCTAAAATCTTCACTTAACTTCTAGCCTCCCTAACTCTGTTAATTTTAATAATACAAGAAAAAGTCAAGAGACCATTTTTATGTAGAATTGTATGCTTTACAATTTTTATACGAAAACTTTTTTTTTCTAGCCCTTACCCGTATTGAATTATCTTGAAAAACCCCTTTGTTTTATCTTTCTTCACCCTTGGCCGGGGGTTGAACAAAAAATTACTGTCACTTATTGTTATTACATGCCTCAAACTAATTCATATCAAAAATTCAGGCAAGTTGACCAAAATTTCGATTTAAAGGCTTATTTAATTGGACTATCTCATGTTATCCGCCGCGCCGTTGTCACATTGCTCGATATGAATTTTTTCGAATTTTAAATTTATTACGACGCTAATTATTTTTTAGAATTAAGCATGGAAATGGAAGGTTTTTTTATTTATTTTATTGTATTCTATCGTCTGTTAAAATTAAAGCAGTCAAACTTCTAACACCTTGTATTTCACCAAACTTTGGAGATTGTATGCCCTACATTTATCCATATTTTGTCAAAATAAACACGTTTATTAATAAACTACTCGTTTTCGTGGCATTGCTCACCGAAATATCCAAGTTTCATACTTGAATTCTTTTAATTTCATTTATTTACAACTACTCTGATTACACAGCCACACAAAAAAAGAAAAGTTGTCTATTTTTCATGCAACAAATGTTATCTGTAGTATTTTTGCCTCCTGATCACTAATCCGGTGTCAGAATTGAGCTATCACATCACAGGAATTTCCTAACCTCAAAAAACAAGTTAAAAATGGCAAAAATTAATGAAAAAGTGCTAGGAAAAATACAAAAAATTTTTTTTTTATATTCAAATGTTCATTTATACCCCACCCAACGTGAATCCGAGATCAGAATTAATGGTTCTTTTTCTAACCTCAAAAAAACGATATTAAGGTCAGATATCACGAATTTTCAAACAACATATTCGCTTCGAATTTGGTATACGGGGGTTTTCTGGGTCGCTGATCCGAGGTCAATTTTGCAAAATTCAAGATGGCGGATTCAAGATGGCCGACCTAATTTTCAAAAAATAACACATTCCTGCCAAATTTGGTATACGGGGGTTTTCTGGGTCGCTGATCCGAGGTCAATTTTGCAAAATTCAAGATGGCGGAATCAAGATGGCCGACCAAATTTTCAAAAAATAACACATTTCTGCCAAATTTGGTATACGGGGGTTTTCTGGCTCGCTGATCCGAGGTCAATTTTGCAAAATTCAAGATGGCGGATTCAAGATGGCCGACCAAATTTTCAAAAAATGACAATCCCGCCAAATTTGGTATATGGGGGTTTTCAATTGCGAAATTCATTTTGTAAAATTTTACTTTATAACCTGAGTACCCAATCGTGTGTTAACCTACTTTTTTTCGGCTATATCTTGTACTTTTTTCTGTAAAAGATCTATTCACGGGTTGAATTTTGTAAAACTGATCTCGGATTCGTGATCAGCGACCCCGAAAACCCCCTTATATCAAATTTAATGCGAATCTGTTATTTTTTGAAAATCTGGTCGTCCATCTTGGATCCGCCATCTTGAATTTTGCAAAATTGACCTCGAATTCGTGACCAGCGACCCCGAAAACCCCTTTATACCAAATTTAATGCGAATCTGTTATTTTTCGAAAATTTGGTCGTCCATCTTGGATCCGCCATCATCAATTTTGCAAAATTGACCTCGAATTCGTGATCAGCGGCCCCGAAAACCCCTTTATACCAAATTTAATGCGAATCTGTTATTTTTCGAAAATTTGGTCGTCAATCTTGGATCCGCCATCATGAATTTTGCAAAATTGACCTCGAATTCGTGATCAGCGACGCCGAAAACCCCCTTAAACCAAATTTAATGCGAATCAGTTATTTTTCGAAAATTTGGTCGTCCATCTTGGATCCGCCATCTTGAATTTTGCAAAATTGATCTGGAATTCGTGATCAGCGACCCCGAAAACCCCTTTATACCAAATTTAATGCGAATCTGTTATTTTTCGAAAATTTGGTCGTCCATCTTGGATGCGCCATCTTGAATTTTGCAAAATTGACCTCGGATCCGCGATCAGCGACCCTGAAAACCCCCGTATACCAAATTTGGCGCGAATTTGTTATTTTTTGAAAATTCGTGATATTTGACCTTAATTGACCCGTTTTTTTGAGGTTAGAAAAAGAACCATCAATTCTGACCGCTAATTCACGTTCGGCGGGGTCTTAACTATGTAAATGAACATTTGAATATAGAAAAAAAAATTTTTGTATTTTTCCTATCACTTTTTCGTAAATTTTTGCTATTTTTGTACCTGTTTNATACCAAATTTAATGCGAATCTGTTATTTTTTGAAAATTTGGTCGTCCATCTTGGATCCGCCATCTTGAATTTTGCAAAATTGACCTCGAATTCGTGATCAGCGACCCCGAAAACCCCTTTATACCAAATTTAATGCGAATCTGTTATTTTTCGAAAATTTGGTCGTCCATCTTGGATCCGCCATCTTGAATTTTGCAAAATTGACCTCGGATCCGCGATCAGCGACCCTGAAAACCCCCGTATGCCAAATTTGGCGCGAATTTGTTATTTTTTGAAAATTCGTGATATTTGACCTTAATTGACCCGTTTTTTTGAGGTTACAAAAAGAACCATCAATTCTGACCGCTAATTCACGTTCGGCGGGGTCTTAACTATGTAAATGAACATTTGAATATAGAAAAAAAAATTTTTGTATTTTTCCTATCACTTTTTCGTAAATTTTTGCTATTTTTGTACCTGTTTTTTGAGGTTAGGAAATTCCTGTCATGTGATAGCTCAATTCTGACACCGGATTCGTGATCAGGAGGCAAAAATACTGCAGATAACATATGTCGATTTCATTTTTAATGACACATTGCAATAACGTCTTTCCCATTTGTTCGCTTATGACAAGCACTGACACGCTTCAATCAAATCATGCAGTCTCGGTCGTCCTCTTTTTATACACAATAAACAAAGATAGAAATAGGAGCTTGTAACAACCGAATGTTCCAAGTTAGTCTGGTGAAAATAGACATTTCAAATAACGAAAATTCCGATAGAGCTAAATTTTGGTGGAGACCTTGGGTACACTATTTTTATGACTAATTTGACCGGACAAAGTCTGAACACTATGCGAAATGAACAGCACATTACAATTTCTGTGCAGAGAAAACACAAAATTATTTTCTCGGGCTTTCAACCAATATATTGCCCTACGCACGACTTTATAGACATATCCACGTCGTATAAAGCTCGTAAACCGGAAACCTTAAAAGTAACCGCCTTTTCCGCCGTCCGGGATCCCGAGCCAGACCGCAAGGAACGGACGGGACGTGGAAATGGGGATTCCCGGCGGACAGCCGACCGCCCGCAACTATATTAGAAGTTAATGGAATGTTTTTTCAATTTCTGCAGAGCACGCCTTCGGAAAAATATAGACAGGACGGAGACGGGAGGACCGGGGACGTGAGTGAGTCTGAGCTCGAGAAACAGAGGGCGTTGTTGTTAGCTAAACTTAACGAGAGTGATTGAGTTATTCGAGAACGAAACTTGTGCCCCAGAACGGCGGTTTTAGGATTATTACTCGTTCGTCGTTTCCGGGAACGCTTGACGGGTCCCGTACGTTCCCAAAACGGCGTTAAACCAGCAAAGTTTTAATTAAGGGTGTGGTGTGGACGACGGTGCAGTGTTCAGAATTAAAAAACGCACATGTTAAAGTCTGTAGTGTATTTTTATATCGTCCGTTTGGGAACGTACGGGTGCGGAAGACCCCGCCAAACGGCGGTTTTGCTTTTAAGTCACATTCCGCAGTGGTAATCCTAAAACGACCCGTGAAAGTTGAACGATATTTAGTTTCTATCCTGTTATTGCCTCAGATAAAACAAGTATTTGTGTAACCCCCTCACGAGTGATTATTTGTACGTCTTCCTCCGTTCGTTGGTACTAGGGAAGATTTAATAATAGCGATTAATTGGTATTTTTTTTATATTTAAAACTGAATCTATTAAAGTCTACCATCAGCTAGTCTTGTTTTTTACCACTTTACCTCTGGATCCGCAACATACCTACTACAGAGTTAAATAAATACAGTTTCTTTCAGTTTAGACTAGGTGGTATCTGTTTTGGTTTGGGTGAATCGTATATCCACGGAGATTTTTGGGTTTTTGGCTTTCAAATATCACTAGAAATGAAAAGTTTTCTATGCGCATAAAAAAAAACCTGGGCTTAACTATTGGCGCCCAATATGTTCGAAAAATGTCATATTTTTCTTCCTATTTAATTATGTATCTTTTCAAGAGTTGATTTTAGGCGAAAATGGAAGAGGAAAAAAATGTTTCTAATTAAATTTTACAAAATATGACTAGTTACAAATCGAATGAATCATGATTATTATTGTAAAAATCGAAAAAATCGTCAAAAATGGGGTTAAAAACAGTACTTTTTAGGGTCTTTAAGTTGAGTATAGGACCTTCATACTTGGCTCAAGAAAAGTTCATGTTATGTAGAATCATCACACCAAATTTCATCAAAATTGGTTCGATAGATTTTGCATAATTTTGCAAAAAAACACAGCAAAAACCAAAGCCCTTAGATACTTGAAAATTTAATTACATATAGAAGGGCTCTTAAGCTTTCAAACGCTTTTTCAAAAATTCGAATCCGTCAATTAGGAGAGCTCTGGCACGTGTTTAAACATTGGTCGAATCTTTGTACTTACAAACAATTAGAATAACTGTGAATACTCAATCAAATCAAATTTTTTAAAATATATTTTAAAAGTTCTTGGAAAGACGCTTCTCTAAAAGAAAAACAGATCGATTAGTCAATTAATTACGTAGTTATAACCGATCAAAGTTAACCATCATTTACTTTAAATGTATTATACAGGGACATCCAGGCTAATTTTTCGAAAAATACAGTTAGTATTGTGAATACTTACCAGGTTATTTATGCAATCGAGAAATTCAAGAAAATCGTACTGGTGGTGGTGTTGGTGGTGGTGGGGCTTGGTAGAGAGCTTAAAAATTTTTAATGTCTCGGTTTCTAGAGGTCCGATTTTGATGATTTTTTTTTTAAATCGATGTCTCGCGATTAAAAAAAAAACAATTAGCGTATTTTCAAATGCCTATCGTTAACAATTATTGGTCTTTCAACAGTCCGATAATTATTTATCTTTAAACTTCCTTTAATTATCAACTTTATTTTTTTATTTTTCAAAGGTAAGTGCATAAACTTATATACTGTTTATCAAAGATCAAAAACAAATTTATTTTAATATTCTAAAATTGTTTAAACAACAATTATTTTCAAAATATGTCGAAAATTAGTAATTAATTAATTATTAATTTAATCATCATTTCTTTTGTGAGTAAAGTATAATTCACATATTATTTATTGTTTAAAATATAAGCAAATGAGAAATTAACTCATTATATTACAAAAATACAAAATTATAGTACAAAAATTCGACCAATGTTTAAACAAGCGCCAGAGCTCTCCTAATTGACGGATTCGAATTTTTCAAAGAGCGTGTGAAAGCTTGAGAGCCCTTCTATATGTGATTAAATTTTCAAGTATCCACGGGCATTGGTTTTTGCTGTGCAAAATTTTGAAAATTTGCTAATTTTTGTTTCAAAATCTAGATTGCAAAATTATTATGCAAAAGCTATCGAACCGATTTTGATGAAATTTGGTGTGATGATTCTACATAACATGAACTTTTCTTGAGCCAAGTATGAAGGTCCTATACCCAACTTAAAGACCCTAAAAAGTACTGTTTTTAACCCCATTTTTGACGATTTTTTCGATTTTTACAATAATAATCATGATTCATTCGATTTGTAACTAGTCATATTTTGTAAAATTTAATTACAAAATTTTTTTCCTCTTCCATTTTCGCCTAAAATCAACTCTTGAAAAGATACATAATTAAATAGGAAGAAAAATATGACATTTTTCGAATTTTTTTAACATATTGTGCCGTCATAAGTTAAGCCCACTTTTTTTTATGCGCATAGAAAAATGTTCACTTCTAGTGATATTTGAAAGCCAAAAAGCCAAAAATTCCTGTGGATATACGATTCACCCAAATATGGACTCTCTGAAACACATACCGTCTGGACTAGTTCTAGTATATTTTACACTATTTTATAGGTTTAAGTTTATTCAGAAAAAAATCCTATCAAATGGAATCAAAAAGCGTTATTTGATACCAAAAAAATATCTGGCCTCACGAACAAGATTCGTAATTGTTTAAAAAACAATCGAATTTCGCAAAAACCAAAATCAAAAATCCAAAATTTCGCATTTATTCGCTAAAACCAAAAACAAATCTTCAAGACAGCAACAGAATAATAAAGTTGTAAAATAAAAGAAATTCTCACTTTATAAAAAATATTGGCGCGACTTTTTTAAATTTAACTTAACTCTGACTGTATCAAATAGTCTGTTCTTAGTTGAAAGCCAACATTGCTATCGTTTCTACATTTTCTTCCAACAGCCCGATCCTTCTGTCTGTGATGACAATGTTGTAGGTGGTGAAAAATTGCTCCGCGTCGCCACTATTTACAGGACTCCATAAACTTTGAATTGCCACTGTATAAACGTATTTAGTTGCCCAAAAAAATCTGAAGAACATCGGGAGTGCCCGTTTTATCTGCTGCAGCTAAGAGTTGTCGATGAAAGTGACTATATCCATCAATAAGCTCTAGAGGATGTTTCGATTATTCCTTCATAGGAATTTTTAGTGTTGACATTTGAAAAAAAACATATTTTATAAAATATTTCGGATTTTCATGAAATTCTATTTAACTTCTTGTCTGATTAAAATTAAACATTTGCTTTTGATTTAAAGTCACTGCTTGTAACTCATTGTTGTGATTCTATTTTATTCTAAAAACGGACCGTTTTTGCCTTATTTTTGCATTCTTAACAGATACTAAGCACCAGAGATTTTGCCCTGAGTTTTTTCCCCTAACTTTTTCCTGGAGTTCCCCCCCCTCCCGGAGTTTTCCCCAGGACTTACCCTCCCGGAGTTTTCCCCCGGACCTTTATTCCGAAGTTTTCCCCCCGGACTTTTTTCGCGGACTTTTTCCCCAGACTTTTGACTTGGAACTTTTCACCCCGAGCATTTACCCGAAGTTTTTCCCCGGACATTTCCCCCGGAGTTTTCCCCAGAGTTCTCCCTCGGACTTTTTCCGGGACTCTTTCCCTGGAGCGTTTTTATGATCCTTTATACGGTCTAAAAATAACTGTTTCTATAGAAAGTTGGAAATTATCGGAAATTTAAAAAAAACTAAAACCTGAGACGTCGATTTTATAAAAGTTGTAGAGCAAAACATTTTACATAAAAATGACCGGTTGACTTTTTCTTGTACTATTAAAATTAACAGTTACGGTGGCTAGAAGTTAAGGGATGATATGAGAAATTTAAAAATAATCGTAAGCAGAAAAACGAATTAATTTCACATTATTTTTTTTTCAAAATAGATATTTTTTTTATTCTTACGGGTATTTACTTCCACTTGGATAAATCAGTGGAGCAAATTTCATCAGTCTACGTCAAACATCTCTAGTTACATTTCAAAAAATATATTTTTTATAATTTCAACACCCTGTATCTCGAAAATGAGGTGAACTACAACCTGGTTCATACTAACTTTTTACTTAAAATAATTTTGTGGTTTTCTGCATTAAAACCTGCACCACCCCATATAAAATTTTCTCTGCATCGTTCCGCTAGAATTGAAAAACCAGTTGGGAAAAAACAATTTTTATTTCAATGGAATAATTGCAGTAATACAAAATGCATTCTTAACTAACTTAACAAATGATTGAATCAATATAAAGAGAAATGTAACGTAACTTTTTGGCTTCGATAACTACTGATTATCACCTTATCAGTACAAAAAACGTATAAAATGATCTAAAGCTAGATTTATCAGCCTTGTAATTTGTAGATTCTTGTTGCGGTGATATCGCCAACGTTCATTACCTGAAAAAAAAAAAGTGGTTAGCAAATGATTTGGAAAAAGTCGCAACTGAAAATCACAGAAACAGTTACAAGTAATTTACTGGGTTAAAAAAAATACCACGTTATTGATTTTTCTTCCACACTGTCTACATGTGAAAAATTTTGCAATAGGCAATAAAAAATGCCACCGTAACAAATGTCTACTAAAAAAATGTAGGTATAACAGAATTGTTTACAGATAAAACATTGGCAATGTTATTTAGAATTTTGTATTAGACAAACTCTTGTTAAAACATCTTGCTTGTGTTGAAATGTACAAAAATGCAGTTTTAAGAGAGCCAACATGGACAATTTGTCCGCTATTAAGAAGTGGTGGTTTTTTCGGGTTGCATAGCCTATGTACCTGATCACCGCCAGCTATACTTCTTTAGTTTTAGCTAGGAATCTTTAACCTGCCCTTGTTGTTCTCGAGCTAAGCTATGCGGGGGCGGGCCAGCTATCAGAACGCCAAGGCCTGCCCTGATGTATTGTAGGGTTGCCTATGAATATTGCCAATTTTTTTACGGATTAACAACTAAATTTATCCAATCAAAATTTGTTAATATGGCATTTTTTTTTTAATTTTAAGAGCGTGTGCTATAGGATTGCCTATCCCCATTGCCAAATTGTTCACAAATTAAATAACCCTGCCTGAACTAATCCAATAAAAAGTTGTTATTACAGTATTTTTTATATTTAATAGCATATTATGAGATCCTTTTTTTACTGCATTTTTTTACGTTTCGACAACTCACTCCTGCTTGAATTTATCTAATAAAAATCTGTTAGTTTGCTATTTCAACATGTATTGTAGGGTTGCCTATGAATATTGACAAATTCTTTACCTATTAAACAACCCAAATTTATCCAATCAAAATTTGTTAATACGGCATTTTTTTAATTTTAAGAACTTGTACTATAGGATTGCCTATGCCCATTGCTAAATTTATCACATATTAAACAATCCTGCCTGAATGTATCTAATAAAAAGTTGTTAATACGGCATTTTTTATATTTAATATACCGATTAAACAACCCAAATTTATACAATCAAAATTTGTTAATACAGCATTTTTTTTTTATTTTAAGAGCGTGTGCTATTTTGTGAAAAATAGTTCATATAAACGTAGATCGAAATATGCTTCGTTTCCGAAATACAGTATTTAAATTTTAATTTTTTATTTATTTTTGTTAATTATTTCAAATAGTTTTAAAGATATCGACTTGAAATTTGAAAAACGCTTTGGAAGGATATATGTGCATTTTTTGGGGTGATCCGAATATTTCTACTTGCACCAGTGGCGTTCGTGCGAGAACGCCACATTTTTTTAATAAAAAAAATAGTACGCCTCTGACTTTTTCCAGTTTTGATATTTTTTTAGAAACCCGTCATCAATTCTGAATGAAATTGGTCTCTTCAATTTTTTTTTTAGGATGCACCGTTTTTGAGGAAAAAAATAACACATTTTATTGCGAGTCGTGTATTTTTAATTTCTATTGATACAATATCTAGTAGGTTGCTGTCAATATTTCTAAATAAAATACAACCATCAAATTTCGAGTCTATACCTTTAAAACTCTGAGATAATTTACAAAAATAAATAAAAAAAAATTATAATTTAAACACTGTATAATAAAATATACAGGACGCCCAAAAAATATCAAAATGTGAAATTTTCCCTAAGCAAAGTGCTTTTAATTTTTATTTTCGTTAAAAACTGTATTTAATAAATACAGTTTTTAACTAAAACAAAAATTAAAGGCACTGGGGAAAATTTCACATTTTGAAATTTTTTGGATGCCCTGTATGTTGTTAACGAAATAAATACTTAAAATTGGAGAGTATGTAAAACATGTCGAAATATGATAAAAACCTTAGTAGAGTTTTTGTCAGTGGCGGTCCCTAAGAGAGATACAGCCCCTTGAAGGGGTAATTCAGGAAACAGTTTTTATTGCGTAACTTCAAAACGGTTTAATATTAAATCACGAAATTTTAAGGTTGTAGTACTATTTATATGCTTAATAATCGGTATAATAACACAAATCAAAATTTGCTAGAGGGGCCTAATAAATTAATAAATAAAAAAATTGTAAAATATGCCCCATGATCCCGCATTTTCTTAGGCCTCTGTAGCAAATTTTGATTTGTATATTATACCGATTATTAAGCATATAAATAGTAACACAACCCCAAAATTTCGTGATTTAATATTAAATCGTTTTGAAGTTATGAAATAAAAACTGTTTCCTGAGTTACCCCTTCAAGGGGCTGTATCTCCCTTAGGGGGCGCCACTGACAAAAGCTCTACTAAGGTTTTCATCATATTTCAACATGATTTACATACTCTCTAATTTTGAATACTTATTTCGTTAACACCTTGTATACAGGGTGTTTCAGAAAGATCTCCCGTAAATTTAGGGGGTGATAGTATGATAAAAAATAAGAATTTTTTGTCTTTTGAACTATATGTCTATCTCCTCTTGTTTTCGAGATACAGAGCGACAAAATAAAATGTTTTAAATAGAATTTTTACGAAAATTTCCAAACGGCGCGACATATTTTTATGAAATTTGGTATTCCGGGGTTTTTAAGGATGCTACGCTGGGCTAATTATTTTTTAGATATTTCATAGAGGGCCCTAGTTATGCTACATTCCTATTACATTTTATGTTCTAATTTTTTTAAGGTTAGGATTTTTACCATTCGGGCTCCAATTTCTAATGTACAATTTTATTTTCCAAAAATACTGTACTCTTGTTAGAACTTCCTAATGTGGACGGTTTTCGAGAAAAATGGCTTTCAATTGAACTCTTACAGTATTACGGTGTATAAAATAAGTGACTTTTCTCAAAGTAGGCTTATGTCAAAACTTATTGACGGATGTCTCATAAACAACGCATACGTTCTTAGTAACATTTTAAACTCTAATTAATTTTATATCAAAATTTTAGTGATTGTTAGTGACTGTAGTTAGTAATGACTAATTACAGTCACTAAAATTTTTATATAAAGTTAATTAGAGTTTAAAATATTACTAAGAATGCATGCGTTGTCTGTGAGACATCCATCAATAAGTTTTGATATAAGCCTACTTTGAGAAAAGTCACTTATTTTCTGCACCGTAATATTGTAAGAGTCCAATTACAAGCCTTTTTTCTCGAAAACCGTCCACATTAGGAAGTTCTAACAAGAGTACATTATTTTTAGAAAATAAAATTGTACATTAGAAATTGGAACCCGATTGCTAAAAAACCTAACCTTAAAAAAATTAGAACTTAAAATGTAATAGGAATCTAGCGTAACTAGCGCCCTCTACAAAATATACAAAAAATAATTAGATCAGCGTATTTGGCGTCCTTAAAAACCCCGGAATACCAAATTTCATAAAAATATTTCGCGCCGTTTGGAAATTTTCGTAAAAATTCTAAATAAAACATTCTATTTTGTCGCTCTGTATCTCGAAAACAAAAGGAGATAGACATATAGTTCATAAGACAAAACATTCTTATTTTTTTGTCGTACTATCACCCCCTGAATTTACGGGAGGCCTTTCTGGAACTCCCTGTATATAATTACTGCTCATGGCCTCCCAAGATAAGCGAAACTTTTTATCAACAATAACTTTTTCCCCAAAAATCGACAATAACAAAGTTAAGGTACGAGTGTGTGGCACCCCACCCGGGGACACACTGTATAGCAATAAGCATATTATTAGAAAAAATAACTCGATGAAATTCCTTTCCTGTTGGAAAGACCAAAGTTAGATGGAGCAGACAACGACTTACCATCTTGATCTCATCGTTGCTGAAGGTCCTATCGATGACCGTCTCCCTCCCGTCGGGGTTCTTCTGCACCTCGTGCAGGGTGTTACCGTTTACCGTGAAGGTAGCCAAGACTTTCCTGCCATCTGGCGTCTCCTGCTCGAATTCCACGCCGGGTTTGAAGCGCAGGATGACGTTCTTGAAGGTGGAAATCGAGGACAAAACGTACTCGTCCCCTTCCTTCTGCAGGTCCACCACTGGGGACACTGCGTTGCCTAGTTTGCGCGTCACTAGGCTTACACCTGCAAAAAAAGAACGAAGTAAAAACTGAAAGTAATTTTGAACATCCTGCAACAGAAAAATTTATTAAATTATTAACGCTGCAGTTGAAGGAACTTTAAACCCTGTAACATATGTCAAATTGTCACATTTCGATGGAGCCCGTGGAGAAAATACGTATAGAAAAGCCTTACCCAAAGCCTTCATGTACTCATCGAACTTCTCGCTTTTCTGCAACTTGTACTTTTTACCGTAGACATCGTCCAGAGACATTTTAATGCAGTCTTTCTTGTCAGCCGATCAACAATGTAAATACCACACCTCGCCAATTTAGATGCTTCTGTTCGACTATGCTTGCTTGATCCCTACGGTTAACAGGCCCTACTTATTCAAATTTGATTTGGAGTGACCTATGGAACTTAGCTCACCGACAGTTGATTGGCTGGTTAACTTTGCTTACAGTATGTATGTACTCGTACTTGTGTTTCGTTCAATAGCGATAAAAAGTGTATCGGAGTTTTTATCATCGTTCTTGTTTGTAGTCAGGGTAAACACAAACACGAAATTGTTCGGATATTAGTTGAAAATTAAAATTGTGAAATATCCGTGAGGTATAGTTAATTTCAGAGCAGTACGGAAAGGTTTAGACTTGGCGTTATTACTTTAAATCAGGGTTAAACTTCATAAATAACTCTTTTGTAAAGATTATTATCCTGTGAGGATTTAAAAATGAGAATATATGCAATGATAAGTAATAGTTTTATCTAAAAACATGCTTGATATAATTAGGCTAGTGAATATAAGATTTTAAAACGAACTATGACGTTGAAAATAATATTTTATTACATGAATCGTTCAAATGGTCATTTTAGATGCAAAAACCGCGGGAGCTATTAAATTAGAGGGTGGAAATTGAAGATAGGGGTGATAATGCACCCCTTTCAGTTTTTTTATTGTAGCTCGAAAACGAAGCAAAATTTCGGTATAGTTTATAGGAAAAATTATTTAGAGAATTGAATTTTCCATCGAACCAACTTATTTCAAAAATTGAAAGGGAAAATTTTATGCAAAAAAATCGTTAATAAACGTTTTCTTTTACTTTTTTGCCTCTAGTTTTTTTTTGAGGAAAGATAGGTATAGGCATTGCTTTATAGAAAAGAAGTAGATAAAATTTCCTTCAAAATAGGAGGTAGTAAAGTATTTTTGGATGAAAATTGACTGACATATGGCCGCTCAAACTTAACCAATTTTTCGATTTTCGTCACGTTTGCCCATAATCCGTTTTAATTCTCATTTTTTTGCAAAAAAGGAAGGAAATAAGACGTTCAAGGATTTTTATCACGTGACTTGTCCGAAGGGTCATTAAAATCGAAAAAAACGTGGGATGCTATTAAATTAGAGGGTTGAAATTGAAGATAGGGGTGTAAAAGCACTTTTGCAGTTTTTTAAATATAGCACGAAAACGAAGCAAAATTTCGGTATAGTTCATAGCAAAAATTTTGTAGAGAATTGAATTTCTCATCGAAATGGCTTATTTAAAAAATGTAAAAGGAAAATTTTATGGAAAAAATCGTTAAACAATTTTAAAGGAAGCAAAAAAATAAGATTTTTTGTACTTTTTTAATAAAATAATTTAGTAAAAACTTGAGAATTTAAGTACAATAATGTTTATTAATGTATATACAGTGTGTCCACGGATGGAGTTGACAAGAGGAGACACTCTTTTGTTTTTGACTTTATCGAAAAATGTCACTCTTTATAAAAAGTTCTGCCCCTCGAAAAAATGAGACTGTCATACAAACATCTTAGATTAGATATACAGGGTGCTCATAAATTAAAAAAAACACGAAAATACTCAAGAGAGAAGTACCATTATTTATTATTTTACACAACATTTTTATAAAACAAATCTGTTTATAACCTCAAATAATGACCTAATACAAATTTTTAAATCAAAATTTTGATTTTAAAATTTGTATTAGGACATTATTTGAGATTGTAAACAGATTTGTTTTGTAGAAATGTTGTGTAAAATAATAAATAAGGCTACTTCTCTCTTGAGTATTTTCGTGTTTTTTTAATTTGTGAGCACCCTGTATATCTAATCTAATCTAAGATGTTTGTATGACAGTCTCATTTTTTCGAGGGGCAGAATTTTTTATAAAGAGTAACATTTTTCCATAAAGTCAAAAACAAAAGAATTTCTCCTCTTGTCAACTCCATCCGTGGACACACTGTATATACATTATTAATAAACTTTATTGTACTTAAATTCTCAAGTTTTTACTAAATTATTTTATTAAAAAACTAAAAAAATAAAAAAATCTTATTTCTGGTTTTTTTAAAATTGTTTATTAACGATTTTTTTTGCATAAAATTTTCATTTTAAATTTTTTAAATAATTTATTTAGATGGGAAATTCAATTCTCTAAATAATTTTTTCTATGAATTATAGCGAAATTTTGCTTCGTTTTCGAGCTACAATTAAAAAACCGAAAGGGGTGCATTTTCACCCCTATCTCCAATTTCCACCCTCTAATTTAATAACACTTCGTGGTTTTTCATCTTGAGCCTTTGAACGATTCATGCAATAAAATTACTTGAAACTCATAGTTCCTTTTGACCCTGTTTTTTTGGATATAATCAATAACCTAAATCCATAGATCAAACAAATAAAAAATTCAGGGCCATCTAATTTTCTTCAGGGTTAATGTGTACAAAAGTTTATAGATGGCGTCATTGTCACAGATATATTTATTCTAGTTTCTATAATTTTTAACATCCATATTAAAGTGATACAAAGTGAAACAGCATACATTTTCTACTGCAGTTTTATGGTTAAATTTGATTCCTTGTTTTCCGTCAAATCTACGGTTTTGCGATTAAGTTATATCTTTATTTAAAAAAATTTCTATTGCTCAATCAAATCTCTTTGATTTAACACTTGCTATAGTAAAGAAAATTGTGCCTGGCTATTTTGGATATATAGTTAACAGTTAGGTACTTAGGTGAGATAAAACACAAGTGTAGTATAAATTCATTATTATGACAAGTTTTAAATTTACCGCCTATTACGTTTCAAAAAAGTGCCATCTATGGACAGTTTACTGAGCTTAAACACATAGTACCACTCCAGGAGAACAATAGAGGGCTCTGGCAGTCACGCTTTGGCATTGACAATAGAGAAACATAACTAACCTATTATTTATTTTCTCTATAATATAATTCAAGAAAAGAATATACCTACGTATGCATGTTCTTATGGATATATGCAAGTCTTTTCTCTCTAGCGTATCTACTTCTTGAGACGGGGTATATTTGACATATGATCACAACAGCCACGTAGCATCCTAATCATAGGCTCTGTTCACGGAGCCTGTCAAATTAGTCCGGGATCAGTCAGAAGCAATCGTTTAGCTACTTCTTTTAGGCAATGCTTGTAGGAAATATCACAGAAAGTAGCTGGACAACTGCTTCTGACTGATCCAGGACTAATTTGACAGGCTCCGCGAATAGAGCTATTATGTACAGGGTGTCCCACTAAGGTCGACGAGGTACGATATTAGAGAAATTATAGGCCCTAGAGCTTCGGGAAAAAAAATTTGATGAATAAATCGCCTAAAAAATCGCTGGAAATAATTTTCAAGTTCGTAGCTCAGCCGCTAGGGGGCAATCTACATACCAAAACATAGAGTTAAATTTTTCTCAGAAATGTTTCTTATTCAGGTATATTAAATAGTACACATTGGATAGCTGGATTCATTGCGCATAACTTTTGTTATTGACATTTTATTCTCTCTCGACAGAAAGGGTGGGGGAAGCCCTTAATGTCTGATCAGAAAAATGCATTTTTTTAAAGATTGGCGCATCAAAAGCCCATAGTGTTACACTTCGTTGGAAAGGTTTTTTCATGCTTTATCTCGTGGTCAATACGTAATGTCATTTACCTCAACATAGAAACCTATAGATGGCGTTATTTCAGAAGGATGCCGTTTTATGGATTTCTCTCTAAAATTTTAAATGCAACGCTATAGTTTTCTTTACATAAATGAATTCAGCACAAAAAAATTGATGAATATAGTATAAGTTTGAAGTTTCTAACGAAAGTGTTGTTGATGTTATTTATCCCAAGTTTAGGTTGTTTCACGTTTTCTTAAAAAAGTGAAGTAGCAGAATAAAACTTATTATAGGTTAGTTTGAAGATCATAAAAATAGTTACAGTTTGACGCCAAAAAGAGCTCTATATCTTTTTTGTTATCAAGTTATTCGCAAATTAGCGAGCAAAAAATAAATAATGATAATGATTTGAGGAACACGACGCTAACGAAAAGACATTTAATTACCGAAACAAAATGCGTTTATAAAAGAAGAAGAAAAGTTTTATAAGTTTTAGGTTTTACTTTTAAATACTTATTTTGATAAAACAGTCGTTGAATTTTATCACCCTGTACACGAACAGCATCCAAAGCAAATCACGATCATGGTCAAGATATTCACGTCAGTTTCTCATCCGTACTAAACGAATTAAAACCGTATCGGAATAAAAATAATTATCGGATAATGCATGCGAAACAAATAAATACTTTGTGCAGATAGGTGCAATATAAATAGCAACAATATTATCGCTGTTATCGAAACAGCAATTATTGTAACAACTCATCGCGTCATAGCGATATAAAAATATAAATAGGTACATTTTTAAGTGCATTGGACACACGTCGAATAAGTGTTGCGAGATTGTTTGTTGTTTACTCGAATTTTGAAAACATTTTCGCAACGTGTATCTATGAATGTTTTGGACATTGCCCTCGAATTTAATGGGCCAGTGGCGGTGCTTCACGGGGGTCTAGATTTGGACGAGCCTCTTTCACAACTCTACAGTAGTTTAACGATTTATTACTAGATGGCTGAAGTGACCAGTCAGACGAAACACTCACTACAGTCACTAGATATCGATAATAAACCCTGGAAAGAAAGTTTTACGGTTTAAAATTAATAAAACGAGATTGCAACGCTTGTGAGC